AGGTGAACAGTGTCAAAGACTACTTTTTGTACAGGCTAAAGTACGAACTATAACCTCAACTGAAAAAATCCTGAAGCCTGTCAAATTTTTCATAAGTAATAATCTTTAACTAAGGTTTAGCACCAAACTTAAACTACTGATGGACATACTTTCTGTAACAGAAAAATACTTTCCATCTGTTGGACTACAAGAAAAGATTCCTATTTTGCTTCCTATTCCATTTTTCCTGAAACAAGACTACTGAGAAAGCTTTTCATGTTTAACCACTCTTAATTCCACATAACATATTCGACCCCTGTGAATAGAGACCATTCACTCTTCTACTCTAAAAAAGCAGAAGAAAGAATTTAACTCACTCTTCGTTGTTTTTGCTTACTGTTCATCTGTATAAAAAGGAACAGAAAATCATAACGTATTAAAACCAAACAAAAATAAAATCAGGAATATAAAATTTAACAAATTCCTAAATAAAGGTTTTATTATGTAAATATACAAGTATCAATTTCAATGGGACTACTTGAGCATATAAATACATTTATGAATTAATAAGAATTGAGATAAGTATCTTTAAGTAAATACTAAGAATTAAGAGGCATAAATGCCCTAATAACAAAGAACAGAACAGGAAACTGATAAAATATTAAAGAAATGCTTTCTCACAGTGGAAGGCAGTTCTGGGATAGGAGGTACAGGATCTCTGTGATATTTTTCTTCCATGGATACATGATAGACTTTTAAAGCTCGATCGATTCTGAAGTAAAACACAGAGTCAGAAATGCAGAAAAGCTACAAATAATATATTAAAAATAATTTTAATTGAAGAAACCTGTTTTTTCATGTTTACGAGCTGTTTGATAACTAAAAGCTAAGGCTGCCTTTGCATACTCTGTCTTCTTTTATATATGAGAGACACATTTATCTTGACCACAATCACAATATATACATGCCTTAATTCACCTCATCCAATTCCCCAGTGCTCCTGTTAGGATTAAAGCTTACTTCTCCTCTACCAGCTACAACAGGTTTTGTCCAACTGTATTATGAAAAAAAAAAAAAAAAAGTACAGAACAAAACTCCTAAAGCTGTTTAAGACCAGCTCCTTTTTACTACCTGTGGTTATAAATTGCTATATAACTATCAGAAAACTTTTAATGGTTAATGTTGGCACGTCCTGCTGATCTTACACATTAAAACATTCCAGTCCATCCTTCTGGGAAATGCTCTGTACGTATCTTGCAAAGAGTATTTCAGCCTTATCTCAATATAACTCAGCTAAAAACTCCCGAGCAGAAGTTAGACTGCCAATTTCAAGTATACACTCAAATCATTACTTCATGGGACCTCGCTTAAAAGACAGTTCCCTTTGTACAAAAAATGTGAGTGAATCAACGATCCAGCAGAAAATTCACTGTTTGTCAGATGGTTGGTCAGCAACCATGTAAGTTATGGTTTGTTAGCAGCACAGTAAGTTATGACTACAGCGTAGTTGACATTTTCAACATACTGAACACCTACATTCTAAAAACTATACTCAACTACTGCAGGTATCATTGAAAAGTCAGGATTTACTGTCCAAGAGCTAAAATTAAAAGACTTCTTGTTTGTTAGATTTGTATTAATACTTTAAAGGCTGTTATAAAAGAAAGGAAACATCTTTCTCTACTTTTAACTTCTATATAGGTTAACCGCTTTCTATAACTGATTGTTGCTACCATTATTAAAAAAAAAAAAAAAAAAAAAAACAACCAAAAAAACCCACAACATCCCCCCCCATTTATCTTTGGTACAAATCAGATTCCCTTCTGTGATAAATTTTTCTCAGACTTTGATCCTGCACCTTAGTTTTATACCACTGCCTAGCTCAAATGAAGCCAACAATTTTGGACATATACAAGTATCTTTTGAGAAAAAATAACTTGTAATACTTGGCCACTTAAAAATTTAGCCACTGAAGTGGAACATCAGTTGCATAGGCATTAGTTGAGTAACTGGTTACCATCACCAAATCTAGTCACACTAAAAACCCACACCAACAAAAATAAAATTATTGATCTCAGTGACAATACTTAAAATGGGTTAAATTGAGACTGTATGTACGTCTTTAATTTCCATCTCTTCTTCTGAAGGCCAAAATGATTTTTTATGTGTTTTTTAATCCTATCACTAGATTTCCTTACGTTTTAATCTTTTACATGAGAATACAAGTTGACATAAATTTCATAATACTACTACAAACAATGCAACCTTAGCCTCAATAATCCTCATGTTTATGCCAAGATAATTAACATGTCTAGGGTTTCTTCAGTAAGTTCCTCAAAATAATGTAGGTATTTCAGCAATACATTTCTATCAAAATAATAAGACCTTTTCCTATTGCCTTTCCTCCTTTGCAAATTAAAATCTTGAAAGACAATTTAATGTGACTTTACCAACCATATTGGCAGCTGTGCTTCTCTAGCAGTGACACGGATCACTAAGCTTAGCAGCAAATGCATTAAGATAGTGACAAAGAAGCCTGTTAGAAGTAGACCCACATTTGGATCATTCTTACAGAAGTCAGCAAGTAGCCCAGACTTTGAATCTCTTTGAAAAAGGTTTTCATAATGAGAAAGGATTTTTGTTCAGTCTATCATAAACAACATTAAAAATGTGAAGGTTACTTTCTCCTCACAACCCACCCCAACAAACATACCTCAAGCAGATTTTTGGTGCTGTAAAAGAAAAAAACATTAGAGATTCCACCAAATGTTCTTCTATTATTAATGATTTTAGATGGAAAGTGTTCGGCACTGCAACAATGACACCAAAACCCTCTAAACAGTGACATCAAAACCCTGACCCTGCTCAGGCAGGGGGGTTGAGCTAGATGATCTCCAGAGGTCCCTTCCAACCCTGACCATTCTGTGATTCTGTAAAGTTGACATACACCATTATTATTTCTAAGATGTCAAATGTGCAATGTTTCTATCATTTCAGTGACAACATTTCTTGAATACATGAAACTCACAGTAACTGATTAAGCATCTTTTGCTGTTTGTTGCATCTTCGGTATGTCAATAGTTTATTCTGTAATGGTGACATATCAGACGTGACTGATGAAGGTAAAACAATGGGAAGAAACAAAGTTCTCAAAGTCTTTTTATTGGAAGGTGTTCCATCTGAGTGCTCCATCTAAAACCATAACAAAAACAAGATTCTAGAATACAATTAATACTGTCCAGAAAGTAGTTTAACAGATGCATGTATTAAGTTGAATTTACATAAGTTGTAAAATGAGGTAGCCTTAGGGATTTCCACAACCCAAGTAAACGTTTAACTTTCAGAACACAGAAAAATACTGTGTATGCTAAAATTGCAAAGTCCAACAGAAAGTGCATATGTACAAAGTCTATGATAATAAGAAAAATGGTACAGTTCTACTAACTCAAGATTAGCATATTGCATAAAAGTAAAGTTCTATTACAAATCTCTTTTAAGTGCTAATCTACCAGCTGTACACAGCACAGAAGACACCAGAAAACCTATTAACACCTATTAAACCCTCCAGCAGACCGCACGCAGGTGGCCCTGGTGTAGGCACATTTCCTGTTCTGATGGGGCCTGACACAGTGTTGCTGTTCCTGGTGTGTCAGTAGGTCAGATCTTTTTGTCTGGTCAGTAAAAAAAAATTACTGCCTCATTAAGACCACTCCTGCTAGATAATATGGAACCAATTCGGACAAGGGTGGCCTCTAAAGTTTTGAGGGGAAAAAAAATATGCCCCAAAGTATCCTTGATATTTGGTATTAATGTAAAGATAAAGCTGCAGCAAATTTTCAAATACAACATCCTAGAATTCTACTGAAGTGAGAGGCAGTCTTTAAATGAATAGAAACAAAATCATAATTACATTAACTTGACTTATAGCTTCACCACCACGTCAAACAAATGGGAGCAAAACTATCTGAGAAAGTTATTTTTTAGATACTATATCACTGTCTCTCTTTAGAAACAAAAATGCAGGATATTATAAAAAATACATTTCTATAAAAACAGCGCCCTATTCTTGTTTTCATGTCTCTCAAGGAAAAAAGAATTAAGCTTATTTTCTACGTGCAAAGTAGTCATTAAAAATTCTGTTCCATACATGGAAAGGTTACGAAACTACATGATCACCTTGTAAAAAGCAGTGTAAAACTGGAGAATATTCAGAAACAATTTTGTGACACAAAGTCTTGTGGTGAACTTAACAGGCTGTTTGAGAACTCTATCTTGCATATAAACATATATTCCACCAACAGACCCTAGTGATAGTGGTTTATGTATTTACCTAAGGCAGAGCAGGGCATAATTTCATTTCAACTGCCTGCCTCGAAATGTTTACCTGAGCTATCAGAACAAGTGCCTCTCTAACTACCAAGTAGGTGCTTGACAGTACTTTATTTAACCTGCAGCAACTCTGGGCTCACTTACAGTATGCCAAGGTGTGCATCTCCAAAAGCAAGGCCAAACTGGGCAAAGACTAAGCTCAGATTACTAAAACAAAAGAGGCAGGCAAGGTGTTAATGTGGCTGATGGGATGTGGCTAAACCCTGGCTTGTAGATGCAGGTTCCCCAAAAAAATTTGGTGGGGTGGATATGCGATCCAAGCTAAGCAAGTGGGAGTTTTGATTGTGACCACAGTTGTGGATAGCTGGGCTGTGCAACAGGTAAGTGGAGACAGGTATGGGTTTGACATAGGAATTCTTGTTTGGGGGCAGAGTGAAAATGTGGAACAGATAATTGGGTAACCACCATTAAAGATACCCGGCAACCAAAGTTTGATAATCGCCTTGTATAAAAACAGAAAAATAGAGGAAAAAAAAAAAAAAGAGAAAGAAAGAAGAAAAAAACCCAAAAACGTGCTGCGTTACTGGGCTCGGGTTCACTAAAAGATTATCTTTCTGTAGCAGCTTAAGTCTTGCCTGAGGCTGAGCATGGCTATCCCAAAAGACTGACGGTAGAGTTCCCCTGGAAACACGATGCACACACTCACGACGGCATTTCAACAGGTTCTCGCAGGTGAGCAGAAAGCCAAAGCTACCTCCTAAATTAGTGAAATATCCTAGAAATTAGTTAAAACGGGTGGTGGTGGAGGCATCAAAAGAAGTAAAGCTCAGCTAAGGTGAGCCGAGACAGTATTACGTTTCCCTGGCGCTCTCTCAGCCCAGCAGGGCCCTGTCGGTGTGGAGGGGAGCCCCTGTCACCGCCCCAACCCCGCGGAGGGCCACCCCGCCGCCCACGTTGCCCTCACCTCTCCCGCTGCCGCGGTCCCGGGCGAGGGCCCTTCGGGCAGGACGGCGGCGCGGAGGCGACTCAGGACAACAGCGCGGTTGCCACGGCGCCGAGGGCGGGCGGCGGCGGAAGGGGCGAGGCGCGGCTCCCTTCCCTCGGGAGAGCGGGTCCTCGCGGTGGCTGTCCCGGGACAGCCCTGCCCACCCCCAGCCCAAGCACCCTCCGCCTTCCCTGGCGCCATTTCCAACGCCGGGGACACACCGCGACTTCAAGGCCACCTCAGCACCCTAAATTCGGGCCCGCACCCCCGGGGCGTCAGCCAGCGCCCTGCTCAGCTCCCTGCGGACCCGGTGGTTTCACGGCCGGAGTTGGTACCGCGTCTCCCTTGAAAACGAAGCAGCACGGTGCCGCGGGAAGGGGCCGCCCCCGCCCAGAGCCCTGCCGGTAACGAGGGCCACCTGCCCGAAGCGCAACGCTCCTTCAACGCCTGTCTACTCACAGAAAGGGTGTTTGTTGCACTGTGTACTATACGTGCTACTAATATACTCTTGTGAATAAAAAAAAATAAATTAAAAAAGCAGCAGAGACTTGGAAAAAAAATAAATCTTACCTTGAATTTGCTAGTCTGCCACAGGGCTTAGTAACAGCCCGAGCAGGTCAGTCAGTCTCTCTGCGCCAGAGTTCTGCCTGCACAAAGCAGATAGAAACCTCCTTGTTCCAGGTCGCAGGAAGAACGCTTAAGAAGTTTTAATACCCTCACGCAGCAGAGAGCTGTTGCTAAGCTTCGACGTTGTGTAAAACCGTAAATGGAAATTTTAAAGACATTTCAGAGATTTACTACCCACTCAGCCACGTTTGACAAAAGAGGCGTTTAAAATCCTAATTTCGTATCTGTGTGGGCAGAGCTCCGTGCGCACAGACTGCAAAGAACAATAGCTGGTAGGAATTTTAGGTCCGTTTTCCAAAGCCCAGGGCACCTCCCTAAGACATTTTAGCAGCCCGGGACTACTCAGTTTGAAGCCTCAGTCCAACCCCGTCGTCAGCCGGCCGGGCGGAGGCGAAAGCTTTCCTGAGAGGACGGGATTTCGCCGCTGAGGGAAAAAACCCCGCTGTTTCTCCGGCCAGTCTCACTCACACCGGGCGGGCGGGTTAACCCCCGACCGAGAGGCCAGGAACACCGGCGGCAGAGGACCGCGGCCGCGGGGACAGCGTCCTGTCACGGTGAGG